TGAAAGGAAATAAAACATTCATTTGGTCGAATTTCTGTGATCAGGCTTTTCAGGAAATTAAAAGTATCATTGGATCTGATCAAATACTGCCACACATCAACCCTAAACTGCCAATAATTTTGCAAGAGGGTATAGCAGGGGCGTTGTTCAATAAAGATGAAAAGGGTATATTGAGGCCAGTGCTCGGGCCAGTGGCATTCATATCAAGGTCACACATGCCGGCCGAAAAAAATTACTCTGTACTTGACAAAGAATCTTTGGCAATTTATTGGTCAGTTAGGAAGCTGTATCAGTATTTGATGGGACAAAATTTTACAATTCAGACCGACCATCGTCCTTTAGTGTCTATCTTGGGTGAAACTAAGGGTATTCCCCAAATGGCGGCTTCAAGGCTTCAACGTTGGTCAGTATTCCTTTCGGGATTCTCATATAAATTAGAATACATCAAGGGAGAAAGCAATCACATGGCAGATATGTTGAGTAGACATCCTTTGGACATTCAATATATTGATACCACCAATGATGAAATAAACTCATCATATCTAAATATGATTGTTTCGGACGAGGTTCCTATAGATTATAAAAAAATAGCAATAGAAACTAGGAAAGACCTAACATTATCTAAAGTTTTCAATTATGTATCATCTGGTTGGCCAGATAAAATTGATGAACAATCTATGATGCCATTTTTTATAAAAAGATTTGAATTAAATTTAGAGCAAGGTTGTATAATGTGGAGATACAGAGTCATTATACCTCAGGAATTTAGAGAACATTCATTAGAAGAACTACACAGTAGTCATTTGGGTATATTAAAGATGAAGTCCATTGCCAGGTCATACTTCTATTGGCCAAACTTAGATAAGGACATCGAAGCAAATTGCCTAGCATATCTGCCATGCCAAACAATTGCAAAAAACCCAGCTAAATCTGAAGTTATGTCCTGGAATAGGCCTTCTAAACCATGGCAACGTGTCCATGTAGATTTTTTGGGACCAGTGAAAGGCAAGGTTTATTTTTTGATTATAGATGCATATAGTAAGTATCCAGAAATAAAAGTCATGGATAGAATTACATCTGAAGAAACCATAGGAAAACTAAGAGAAATATTTTGTACCTGGGGAATTCCTGAAACTATTGTATCGGATGATGGTACACAGTTTGTTTCAGCTTAGTTCAAACGGTTCTTAGACGAAAGCGGTATCAGACAAATCACATCGGCACCATATCATCCAGCCACAAATGGAGCTGCCGAAAATGCAGTACGTAGTTTTAAAAAATCATTAAAAACAACATTACTTGATCCTAAAAATAAATTTAATAGAACTAACTTGATTATCAGTAGATATCTTTTAAACTACAGAAGTTCAATACATTGTGCAACAAATGAGACTCCATCCAGGCTTATGATTGGTAGGAATGCAAAAATAGTATTTGACTTACTCAAACCAAAGGTAATTGATAAAAATAATAATTATCATCAAGGGGGTAGACGAGAGAATTTTAAAGAGGGACAGGTAGTAATGGTTAGGGATTACAGGGATAAAAATAAATGTCTGTGGACAAAAGCAGTAATAAAAGAAGTAATAGGTAATAAAAATTATGTCTGTGAACTACCAAATGGTCAATGTTGAAGACGCCAAGACGCCAAATTAAAAAAGGTTCAGAGAAGGTACCTGAAGAAAGTAAAGTAATCATAAATAAATATGAGGATAAAATAGTAAAAGCTCCCTCAGATCAAATACCCGAATCCAATCCTACAGAGCAATTGGCCCGGGATTATGAAAATAGTAATCATAACAGTTCAACCTGCTCTTCCCCTACTAGAGTATCAAGTAGATATGATTCCAGTGAATCCTATGAATCACTTACATCCACTCCATCAACTAGCAATAGTACTTGTAATGTAACAGAGCCAGCAATAAGTAGATCAGGCAGGACTATTATGAAACCAAATAAATATAAGGATTTTGTATGTGAACTAGAATAAGTAAGAAAAATTGAACATTGTATTTTTGTAAGGAGAATTTCTTAGGAGAGAGGAGTGTATTTACGTCAGGTCGTCACATTAGCCATACCCATGATCAGTTTACTCTTAGTTTATTTAGTGATTATAAGTTGGTAATAGAATAGAATAGTGGGTTTTCCGGAAAAAGATCAAGCGAGCAATTTCTCTCTCTCTGATCTCAACTTCGAATCGATCAACACGTTGTATTTTTGGGGAATTGAATAAACCATTTTCAATAAGTGAGTTTTTGGAAATTTATTTATTTAATGATACAACATATCAGACTGTTCTCATGTTTTGTGGAGGACAACGGAAGACGGATATAGCACCATTGTGGAATATACAGTATGATAACAAAATGGGACAAAATCTCATTTCAGTAAAAAAAATCAAAAACGGTGACTAAAATCATAGCTCATTCGATTCAGTATTTTCAGAAACAGCCTTCTCGATATCCATTATTGATATTAGACTATTAACTCGAGACGTTTTCGATAATTCACCTCTAATTGAAATACAGGATGAATATTCTCAATTGAAACTTGTTTCCTGATATCGATGATTCTTGTCAACTGATTACCAATATTTATTGCCCAAGTATGAGACACAGAGTATCGTTGTTCAATATACTGATTGTTTCACAACTTATCTGACAAATTTCAACCACAACTACAATATTACACAAGAAGTCGATCACATAAAAATTTTATAGAAGGGAAACGAGATGGAAAATAAAATGTATAACACTTTATATCCACTAAAACTATTGGCGAAATATGACATTAGTGAATTCTTCAGCATCATGAAGATCCAACTAAACAGTCCTATATCCTAAATTTCAGTTGTAAGTAGGGACCTCCCCTATTCAACAAAACCTCATAAAATCGGTTTGGCATAGATTCTATGAGGTTGTTGCGATGAAGTCTATTGATATTGCCTCCCATTCTTCTGATATAGCTTGAATAAGGTTCATTTTACTTGATTCTTTGGGATTCTGTCTCCTCGTTTCTATAAAATAAAAATATTCGTATTATTTCAATATATTTGTAGTGGGACAAATCAGTTGATTTTCCCCAAAATGTCACTGCGTTTAACAAATTTTTCGATCAGGGAGTACAAAAGAAAAACCCAGTAGCTTGTCAGTGACAATTTGTTTGAAAAAATGTTTGAGGGAAAGAAATATAGAAGAATGCAAGCGGATTCCTTGATTTAAATGGAGACAATAGCATTGCTTCCTGTTCAGTTGATATAGATAGAACATGGTATTCACTACTGAAACCTGAACATGAAAATGATAGATTCAAGATCAAATAATGAAAACATCCTGTAGCTCATTTGTAGACTGAAATCACTCATTCATATGCCAACATCAGTATGACACTGAAAAATGTCAAACTATAAGCAGCAAAACTTTCAAAGAAAAATATTTTGCATTTATATGTTGAGAACGGGAGCAGATTCGGTCCCGAAACGTCCAAAGATAAGTAAAAATTCGATATTTTTTCAATATATCTATATTTCTTTCCTTCAAACATTTTTTCAAACAAATGTCACTGACAAGCTACTGGATTTTTTTTAGACTCCCTGATGAAAAAAATTGTTAAACGCAGTGACATTTTGGGGCAAATTATCTGATTTGTCCCACTACAAATATATTGAAATAATATAAATATTTTTATTTCATAGAAACGACGAGAGAGAATCCCAAAGAATCAAGTAAAATGAATATACCACCTCCTCGATTAACCTACAGACAGTATGTGGATAAGGTTGTCATTATTTTGGGATGCATCTTGCCTTCTCGATCGGTTAAGTTTCATTCGGCTCCACACATGTTCAATCGGATTCAGATCTGGAAATAATGCTGGCCACCACATTCTTCTAACATTATTGTTTTCTAGGGTTCGTAATTTGTCCGATAAGTTGTGAAACACTCAGTATATTGAACAACAATACTCTGTGTCTCATACTTGGGCAATAAATATTGGGAATCAGTTGATAAAAATCATCGATATCAGGAAACAAGTTTCAATTGAGAATATTCATCTTGTATTCAAATTAGAGGTGAATTTTCGGAAACGTCTCGAGTTGATAGTCTAATATCAATAATGGATATCGAGAAGGCCGTTTTTGAATATGCTGAATCGAATGAGCCATGGTTTTAGTCATCGTTTTTGATTTTTTTTACTGAAATGAGATTTTGTCCTATTTTCTTATCATCCTTTATATTTCACAATGGTGCTATTTTCGTCTTTCGTTGTCCTCCACAAAACATGAGAACAGTCCTTCCCAATATTCAGCTCAAGTGGAGTTCTAGAGAAGAAATTCAAAAAAAGCAAGACTTTCGAAAAAAAATCAAATGTTTGTTCCAATGACCAATTGAGGAGAAATCGCGAAAACTTCCCGAGATGAGGTCCCAGTGTATCATAATATGACCGACTTTTGATCAGAAAAAAATAATTCCTCAAGTTCTGGCAGCATTGGAAATGTAGACCATATTGTTATGGTTCCACTTTACACCCTGTGTAAATTTGCTCTGCGGACTTTTCCAGATTGTTCTAGTCTCTTTGGAGCCGATAAAATATCACATCTGATATCGAAAACCGCATGAAGATCGCTCAAATTTTTAAAAAAAAAAACAGGTCTTCGAAAAAGAGTCAAATTATGAGTGATCCATTTAGTGTGTTGAGAACTGTATGTGTAAGAGATAATATTTCAATTATTGGCTAAAAATATGTAAATATTGTCATTGTCGGATAACGTCAATGACTTCTGTGTCACTACTGGCACGCAGAAGCCAATTTCAGCTTTTAACTAATGATACTATCGATAATTTCAACTTGTGCTCAATTTATTGAGTTTTGAATTAGTGTTAAAATTATCATTTAGCGCAGTGCAAATGAGTACGCTGATTTGCGATTTAAATTGCAATTTAGTGAAACGAGTGAAAAATCATTATTATATTATTACTTTGAGATATTGTTAATTTCAGATTCGACTAATATTCTGAAAGAAACCAAAAATCTGGAGAGATTACCAAAAATGAAAAGAGTCTGGCAAAGTGAAGATTTAGACAATGTCAAGAAAAAAATTAAGGTCCTTGAAAGTAAGAGGTAGGTATGCATATTCTGTTTTTTCATGTTACACTAACTGGCTTATTGTTTATTTAGTATGGTGATTTCCGCAGAACAAATGGATCTGGTCAATTTGATTTTATCCCAAGCTCTCAATGTGGAAGATAAATACAGAATTTTGGATGCAAGAGATAAGTTAATAAGGATCAAATTAAAAAAAAAAATTCATTTGAAGTCTTCGCCAACTATTGGTACTTGTCCAGATATGTGCCCAGAAAAAGAACGCATGATGAGAGAGGCTCAACATCAGGTAAAATGAACTAACCTATAATTAAGGTATCTACATACAGAGTCATTCACGGTAAGCTTTCATTAGATACATAATCAATAACCAAACAAAATGAGTTTGATTAATATTGTGGATTCTGTTCTCTCATTTAGAATATATCCCACTTAATCCGTATACCTTTTATCAATTATGAGATTGAAATTTCTTCAATTTCTAATCTTGTTAAGTCCTGGAAATACACTAAGTCAAAATTATTTATCATTTATTTGAATGAATCCTATGAACCAGAAGAATAATAGAAAAATGTGTTAAAATAAGTCGTGTAAACAATACGGGACTTTTTCATTGACTGCTTAGAAATATTATAAGAATGTATAGATAAAATGACAACTGAAGGTGACATATTATTGAAGTGTGAGCACAAACATAAAACACCCTGGCGAATGAAGGTCAGTTTTTTTGGGTTGAATTACCTAAACGCAACAAAACTCGAATTATAAATATCAAGATTACTTCCACCCAAAGAAAATGCTTGGGTTCAATTCGGTAAGACGGTGATGTTCACGTGAATCACATTATTGTTGATGGTTTTCCACTTGAAGACTCCAAATCGCGATATTTCCATGGATGAGATATTTTTCTGACAACGCAAGTTTGAGAAACATTTATATAAACGCCATCAAATATTTGTTTACAATCTTGGTTGTTATGTATTCAAATGTTTTCACTAGAAAACTTACGGCAAACGTCTTTGGTTGTCATAATGAGAAAATCATAGCAGCTTATGGTATTTTTCATATGTACATGACTTAAATTGTCACTCTAATTTCCTTCACGTGTATTGGGTTTTATCTAGGGTATTTTATCGATAAATCCTATATGAGTTTATGAAATAAACTAATATCACTCAATAATCATCTTGAGTTTAAAATAGTTTTTCCTATTAGGCAATCTAGCGACCTGTCAAACGAAAAGCAATATCGCGGTTGTTGGCACACATTTTGTATTGTCATAAGAGACTATTGTCATAAAACGGTTTTTCTTGTGATTTCCTGTGTGTGTGTTGGACTTTTTTTTTTCATTTTCAAATTGAAATATATGCCACATAATATCATTGTTGTTCAAGATTTGACTCGGTATATCAGTGCTACAGGTTATTAGCTTATGATAGTTTATATGTTGATCATAGTTTTATTTCGTGATTTCCTGTGCTTGTTAGACTGGTTTCTCGTCTCTTCTGGACCTTATGCCACAGTTTACAGTTTATGCTGAAGTAAAATGCCTCTTACATGCATTGTAGTAGGATGAATGTGGGTCTCGCTATGACAGGGATATACTTGGGTTTTACTGGGTCCCTAAAATCGTGAACCACAAGTTTTTGACCAGTAAACATAGCTTATTCCGGAAGCGAAGAGAAAAATGGCTGTAATCAAACGAGATGATTCAAAGATGAAGTACCTATCAGAGAGTATGTAGCAGACATTTCATGAAATGTAAGTCCTTCAAAAGTAGATTTATGCAAGAATCATAAGTTGAAAGCCTCAAGGACATCAATTATCTCTTGCAACTATACGTTAATGTATTATTTTGGTCATAGTGATAAAGAAGGTTGAAAGAATCTATTTAATACTTGGAACTTGGAAGTTATGATTTTTATGGGTGTAAATTCACCATAATTATGTCTCCACTCTCAACCTGTGATTCCATGTTGGTGTCTGCTGAACTTCTCTAATTATTATGATTTTTGTGAACATAACATTTTCAGGCTTAGACAAAACTGATCCTGACTCTGGATTCCAGAGTCAGGATCAGCAGAATATGGGACATTCATCTCAGGTATTTCTCAAGAGTAATGATGATGCACAAATGAAAGAGAGGTTGGACAAAAAAAGTTTATAACTAGCTGAGGTACCTGAGTTGTGATGTTTTTTGTACAAAAACTTATAAATTGGCAAACAATATGTTGAAGGATATTTACTGTTTTTGAAGCCTATAATGTTGAAACACACAGAAATACATAAACTGAGGCTGATGATGAAGATAGCCCTGGACAAGAAACAGGCATTTCATTACAGACCATCATGGCCATGAGTGAACTTGCTGTAAAACTTGACCAATTAAGATTTGTATCACGGAAGATTGTTGCATTGGAAATGAAATTTGGAAAATTCACCATTTGGACTAATGGACAAACTATAAAATAATTGTGCAGAATCTGATTTAGATATTGTTAATTCCATTAGGAAATCTGGACATCTATACTAATCACATTAGGTATTTAATTAGTTTTCTGTATTTTTTCAAATTCAAATAGCATCAACATATTATGCAATGTAAGTCAACTGAGCTATTATTATACTATAATTTATGAATACTGCATTGGAAATTTTATGTTTGTATTGTACAACAAAATAAATTGGGAAGGTAAAAAAATATTTGTTGTTTTTTTTTATAAAAAATGTCAAATATTCTGGAAATGAAAAAATATTTCAGACATATTTGTCTTGTCTCTGCATATAAAAAATCATTAATCCTTGAAGTCAGTGGTTTGTATGTAGAGGGTGTTGAAATAATATTGAATGAGAATTCTCAATATATTTCTACATATATATTTCCATTTATTATGTTCATAATCTATCTGAGAATATTCCTTTTCAATATTCAGAACATTTTTCTATTCCTACAAATTTATTCAAAATCCAAATTCATAATCATATTTCAAAATATAGACAATGGGTATGCAAATATAATATTTTCAAACAAACAAACAAAATAAAACTGAAAATTTCATCTACGGTATGAAAGAATGATACAACTCAACATTTATAATGATTGTTTTTTATAGCCATCAACTCAGAATTACTTTTGGATAGGTATTTTGTCCTCGTGAAAAATATCCAAAACCAAAGCCACGCCAGCATCTCAACCAATTCACTTTCTTATATAGGTGGTACTTTCCTATAGTATGCTTGCGTTCAGATGCCTTTTCCAAATTTGGAGGTTTTCGCCTAAAAACAAGTTTTATTCATTAATATTAGTAGAAAAGTTTATATTTATCACATTCCAATGAAAAAAAATCAATGAATGAACAACAAATAAATACAACCTAGGTAGCTAGAATTGCTATAAATAGTACTACAGTATCAAAGAACCTTACCTGTTCATCTAAAATGTTGAAATCAGTCTGAATTCTAGTTCTAACCTTTGGAATAATAGTTGTGATGAGAGGTAAATATCAATATTTGTAAGGGGGTAGAACAGCATCAGGTGAACAATTCATATCACAATTTTTCAATGTGGAAGGATCCAAGTCATTGATTCAATTTCATTTTATATCTGAAACAAAATAATAGGGACGTATTTTCGAACATATCGTTGACCAACGTCCCTATCTCTTAACAACATTGTCTTCAGATATTCATTCTCCATCTCAATAAAGTTCTTCCACAATCCAAAAAGCTTCGGAAATAGAAAAAACAGTAACAAACTATTCAACGTCCACACCAATAATGCTAACCTTATGGCGCTACCTGGATTGTGTGCCAACAGCAGGCATATTGGATCACGTGGTTTGATTGCCTAATTACTAAATGGCAAGGAACATGCTTACCCAGGGTGATTATTCTTAACCTATACGCTTAAACTTGGGAAATCATTGTATATATATGCTAAGTTGGGTGTGCTTCCATGTGAGTGGGGTGAGTCCATCCCCTCCACCACTTACCCCTAGTTGTTACAGTTCACTGTACAATCTTCTTCTTTCCGCAAAGTCAATGGTTGAATGAGGTGAGATCTTCCTGAAATCGGTTAGATCTAAATTGGAGAATCCAAATTTGTCAAAATTTTCCGTCTTTCACTCAGTCAAATCGACGGTATATTTGTTGAAACTATCTCGTAGGCGATTTTTTTAAACGACAGCAATCCTCCCAGAATCTTCCGATTATTGCTACTGCATTCTAGGAATTACTTGGTTAAATAATTCGATGGCTTAGGCAGAAACCCTTTCGAATGTATCAGTCCTGGTAGTTCAGACAAATTGAGTGCAGAGACAGAAACCACTTACTTGGTGTCCTCCTGAAGTTCTCTGAAAGAGCTAGCTCTTGTTCTGGAACTGGTGGTCTCTGGCTGTTGTTGTGGAAAACAGCGAAAAGCCGAAAGCGAAGCTGTTAAGCGAAGCGCACTAAACAGTACCGATGCATGGGCGACGAAAAATACTCATTAAAAATCGACAACTTATCACTAGGATGAATAATCTTAGAATGCTGATAAGGTCACGCATGTCCAAACGTAGGTGGACAGGTGCAAGAGCTTCTGTCTCTTGCATTTTCGCGATATCGCCAAATTCGTTGAGAATAATGCCCAAAATATATATTTGGTATACCGAGACCGAACATGCCGCGTCCCCAAAGGCAAGCTAAAGGCTTGTTTAAAAAAAATGCATATACACGAAAAAAAATCTAACTCTAGATTCATATTTGTTAGAACGAACACGGACACAAACAAAACATATGAAATATTTATAGAGAAATTATGGTGAGATTGGTAAGGCACATACCTTCACCAACGGACGCTTTACAGTTGTAAATCATGGTGCAGCCTCTGTAGAAGTTGCCAACACGTCAACCGATTAATAATAATAATAATAATAATAAAGGTCTTTTTTATTTTCAACACAATAATTACAATGATTGAAATAACAATTAGAATTATGTGAAAATAAAGGGCGAAGTTCAGCTCATTCAGCGAAAACTCCACTAAATGAGTTGTTCTTCCACTTAACCCAAAAAATGTCTCCGAAGGTCTATTTAAGAATACAAACAAAATAACCGATCGTAAAAACATAAATAAAAAGAATATATATATATATATATATAAATGTGTATCTATATCGATGAATAAGGTACTATGATAATAAATTAAAAAAGAAAAGAAAATTGGGAAATAAAATCAGTTACAATTTCTCATTGATTATTCTCAAATAAGTATTTCTTCAGTTTTACTTTGAATACATTGAGCTTATC